ATTATAGTTGACACACCAACTGATCAGGACCCCTTCTCCCAGCAGTATAGATTGTTGTGATTGTTTGAAATGTGGCATTGTTACATTTATCCTGGCGAGTGTAAAACGTAAATTACCTAAACGCCATCAATAAAACCTTTCCTGAGTATAAAAAAAGTGTTCAGGAGAACTAGATTTAAACTGCTGGCTATTATTTACCTCAGTATTCCGCAGGCAGACATGCTCGGGGAGAATCCATTCCAACATATATAGGGATTATAGATGAACAGAGGCTCTGCAGAAATTAATCTCCATCTTTATTTACAGATCCATACAAAATTACAATACCAGAATTCAATCTTTTAACAAATTATGTGAAACTCTTTGAAAAGGCCATAGTATCCATAAAACATATTACAGTATAAATAGAGTTTTTTTGAATTCTTCTGAAGTGGAGATGAAGTAGGTCAACAGAAAGCATCCTGAAAATTTGAAAATAAAACAATTGATTTAGGTTGGGAAAGCAAACATTTTACACCTGGGTATGAATTAAAATATCAATGTGTCAATTTATCCCCGAGTATATTACAATTTTGGAATGACGTCTAACCTGTACCTTCTATGCACAAGTGAAAATTAAAAAAAAATACAGGTCTCCATTTATACAAGTGTAACAAGGTTTCCTGTACAAGACTGTGTTATTTCACAAGTTAATGTGAATGTCCTGTAACGGTTGGGCACCTGAGATCTTCTACCTTACTATAAGCATAAAATGGTGTACAAAATAAATTTGAAATGGACATTTATTATTTCAAGCTACAACTGAATCATAACAGGGTTACTTGTGTCAGTGGGGAAAATAATGCTTCAAGAACTTGCATACATCTCTGGAAAATCTGCAACACAGCACACATTTCACTCCCACTGAAGGGCAATATCCTTGTGTATGTGAAACAGCACTGAGATCAATAGGGTTATAATTTTATATGTTTACGCCAGGTGAGTGCATGGTTGGAAATCAGGTACATAAAAATTGACTTAAGTCAATGTGTTTGCCAAGTACATCACTTGGCATGCATAAAGTGTTAAATTTTGCATTCTTTTTCACTGGAGTATAGTCATGGGCATGCCTTTTCTGCTAATGAACCAATACAAAATATGTAAATTTGTAAAGTCAAGCATGCCAGTAAAAGCAGAGGGTTCACTGTATTAATAGTTAGTGCCGACTGACAAAATTGGACGTGATCAAATGGATTACATTTGGCAGATCACTGAAGGAGGGCTGGAGCCTTTAGCTCCACAACCATCCTGCCCACCAAAAATGTACTAACCTCCACATACAGTTTTGTATTTGCATGTAAATTAACTGGGAGTTCTTGACAATTCAAAATATCTGGAAAACTTCAACATTAAGCATTAAACTCTCATGACCCAAGAGCAAAACATAAGTTCTGAGATAAAAAGCCCATTATTTATTGGGTTATTAGAATAGAAATAGTTCCACCGTTTTCTGGCTGAAGAATGGTTAAAAATATGCCCAGAATAAGTACAAACTGTATAAATCAATTTTCTTGTTGCCTCAGACTATTTTAGATTATAATAGATAATGAATACCTCTAAATCAGCAAGTTCTCACAACTCCTTTAAAAAACAGCCTCAGTGAAACTGAAGTGGGTTTATGGTCCTTGGTTTGAGATTGAATTACAAAGCCCTTATCCCCAAAGAGGTATTAGGCATCTCATGTGTAAAACTTTGCTTCATATTAGAACTACCAATGCAAATTACATTGTCATATTTTGTGATGTAGGAAGTACCTTGTTCCACAATTGTGGGGATGAGTTCACCAATGTGCACAGATCTCCACGAAAGATGCTCTTTTTTCCAAACCTAGCTCTTGTCTACCAGACACCGTTATGTAATGCAAGTTATTTTTGATAATAGGCAAAAATAAATTGCCTAAATGAATGAATTGAAAGACCCATGAAAAACACTGAAGTAACCAGGCATTTGCTGCTTTTTGTTTTTATATTTCTCATTTTAGTAAGAATTGTCTGATAAAAGTAGAACTACAAAACAAGGCAACAATTCAGTTAGCATGGACTTTACTCAAAACTTCTGATGACCTTTTTTCTAAAAAAAAAGGACCACATACCTGCTGTCCTTGTATAGAGGGTAAATCAAATTGGTGTTGTTAGCTCAGATAAAATGTGAATTAATCACATATTCCTCAATAACGCCAAGCTTAAGAAATGACAGTCACCTGTCAATAAGAATTTTTTTTTTTTAAAAAAAGCACACTACTTAAGAGCATTGCAGAGTCTAGCAGCTCACAGATAGTAGACAGTTGGTCCAAACTCATAAAAGCACTTAATGTACAGAATTCTCGCCAACTTTATGATCATGGTCTTGCTAGGTTTTTAGCCACAAAGTACCCCAAAAGTCAGCCAGCCTAGAAAAACCATTCTCTTCAAAACTATTATACAAACGGGTCTAACCGGTCAAAAGGGAAAAAGTGATGTACAATCATAAAAATAATCTTTTAAAAAACAGAACTGTAGAACAGAGGACGAAGAAAAATATTGCAGTTCATGAGAGAAGCCTAGTGTTTTCTTCATTACTTCTCCACACGTACAAATTGGTTTTGTGATGGAATACTTCAAATTTGTCAAATCTAATAACTTTTGTATTTGTATTCAAATGTACATTTTACATTTTTAAAAAATCCCTGGTACAAACCACAACTATGTAGAAGACTTCCCAGCTGTTTCAGTGTATCGTTCATGTATATTTTATAAAGTCTGGTTTGTAAATCAATATGGTAAACCTCTGCCTCGTCCTCCTATGGTTGATGTGCTAATACGGCCGCTGTACGCATGAGAATAACCTGTTCCACGCCCAGGGGATCCCCAGTTCTGTCCGTGAAGATGGCCACTTGTGGCTAGGTTCTCTTGTCTGTTGGCAACATACCCATAATTTTGTAGTTTTGCGGCAAGAGGCACATTTGCACTGTTAGTACTTTCAGTTATTGCTGCTGGATTACTTCCACTGCTGCCCAGCAGGGGCAGAGCACCACGGCTGTACTCAAATCTGTGGTCTTTGTCTCCTGTAAACTGCATAGCACTGCTGCTGAGATAACTAATCCCTTCTCCATAACCTGTCACTGAGCTAGAAAAGGCATCCGAGTAGCCAGAATGCAAGTGCGCACTACTAGCAAGAGATGATGGAGCACTGAATGTAGACGACACATTATCCAGAAGTGAGTGACTGGGAGCATCCGCACTACCCAGGAAGGTGCCCCTTCCCCCACCGCTGCCAAGTCTGCTGGTATATCCATCAGTATTGAAGTTATTAGATGTGCAGGATGTCCCAAATCCATCCCCATAATCTGCAGCGGTTCTAAGGTTACCACTTGCTCGATAGTCAAGAGACGTCTGTCCCAATTCCTGGGCTTGGTGATGAGCTAAAAGCTCCAAAAGGGCTGCCTTCACTCCTGCAGTTGGATCACTTGTTGAGCAAGGAACGGCACTATGCTGCTCCTCTGTCTGAAAGTTTCCATCTGCTGAAGTGGGTGGTGGTTCTGGCGGCTCCGGGGGTCTCTGGTCTGGGGGCAGGATTCGAGGATGTTCATGTACAGGTGACTGTTCTGGGATGCTAAGATCCGACTGTCTAGCAGAGTCGTCATTGAAATCTGAAATCACATATATTAGAATTTTGAAAAGCAAGTATGATATAACTGGGATGAACTGAACAGCTATTTCAAAGAGCAGGCACAAGCATAGTGAGTCAAAATGGTCTCCTGTACCTTATGATTCTTTGACAGATTACTTTTTGAATAAAATGTGCTTTTAAAATGTTTGCTACTGAACTTCTAATCAACCTTAGATTTTTGTCAGAAAAGCCTTTTTGTGACACTGAACAAGAGAATAAACCATAATCCTTTAAAACATCCCACTAAAGGTTCAGACACTAGTCAACACCTCCAGGTGTCAGTGGGTCAAATATCTTCAAATTCTAGAGTCTGACTAAATCATCAAGCATCAATGTGAACTGGTGCACTTCCAAATACAATCAAAACCATTGAGACACAATGAACTTACTGATGGATCTAATCAGTTTGTGCGGTCGCTGCATCCTCATCACAGAATTAAACAGATTCCAATAAAGTGCAGTTAAGAAAAAACAATTTTGAAAAACTTTTGTCAGAAATCTTAACCATTTTTCCTCATTCTTTCATTGCAAGTTAAAATTGCTGCAATGCCACTAATCTTTTGTGTACATCTAATTACCCTTGAAAAGATGGTGGTGAGCCAGCTTCTGAAATTGATGCAGTCCATCTGGGGTGCATACTCTTAATATTGTTGGTAAAAGAGTTCCAGGATTCACCGCAACAGTGAGAAAAGAATGTTGTAATTCCAAGTCAGGATGGTGCGTGGCTTAGAAGGGAATAAACAGATAGTGATGTCCCTACAAGTCTGCTGCCTTTGACCTTCCAGATGGTAGAGGAGTTGGATTTGCTAACTGCTGTCGAAGACCTTGGTGAGTTGCTGCAACGCATCTTGTATATGGTACACACATCTGCCACTGTGTTGGTGGTGCAGGGAGTCAAACAAGCTGCATTGTTTGCTCCTGGATGGTGTTGAGCTTCTTCAGCATTGCTGGAGCCCCACTTGTCCAGGCAAGTGAGGAATATTCTATCACTCCTGACACCTGTAATGTTCCCTCTAAGCCTTGCAGCCATACACGCCAATAGCCATTCCCAGCATTGATTTCAACTGGTTTTGAAAGGTGCAGCCGTATGTGGACCTCAGAGGTCCATGGTGAAGTAAAAACCAGATGGAGCATAGGACTTGTGCTTTGAAGACAATGATCGGGCTTTGGGCAGTCAGACAACCGAGTTAAACCCCTGAGAATTCCCAGTCCCTGACATGCTCTCGTAGCCACAGTATGTATATGGAAGGTTCAAAATGTTTCTGGTTACTGATAATCCCCAGTGCGTTGACACTGGGAAAAAAAATAAAATCAGCAATGGCAATCCCATTGAATGTCAAAGGGTGATAGTGAGATTCTCATTTATTGGAAAGAGTCACTGCCTGACACTAGGATGGTATAAAGGTTACTTGTTACTCATTAGCTCTAACCTGAAGGCTGTCCAGATCTTACTGCACTTAGACTGCTTTAGAATCTGATGAGTTGTGAATGGTATGAGACATTAGGCAATTATCAGTGAACGTCTACACTTCTGACCTTAACATGGAAGGAAAGTGATGAAGCAGCTGATGATGGTGGGACATAGGACAATACCCTGTAGAACTCCTGCAGCAATGTCCTGGGATTGAGGTAAGTGGCTTCCAACAATCATCTTCCTTTGTGCCAGGTATGTCTCCAACATGTGGAGAGTCTCCCTCGCTACCGCTGATCTCTATCGATTTCAATTTTGCCTGGGCTCCTTCATACAACACTGGGTCAAATGCTGCCTCAATGTCAAGGGCAGTAACATTCAACTCCCCTATTACACATTTGGAACACTACTGCCCAACTAGCTCCAATAGTGAAAGCATTTGGAGGTACAGTACTGTACTGATCCATATGGACCAGTAAGGTGTCCTACATTAATGTTCTCATTCTGACAATAGGAATCCTACCATTTGATCTCCACTCCAAAATGTAAAGGCTGATTCAGAATTCCTGCTGAAGCTATTATTCAGCAACCTCATTAAAAATATACATATGAAAGGATTGGACTGAGTTCAGTTGTGGTACTTTACAAGATCAAGTGAAATTTACTAATCAAACTTGAACATAGTAGGAGAATGAAGGCAAGATGGAGGGAGGAAAGAATAAATCTGCACTAGGACAGGTTACATAAAATGTGAAGAGAACTACCACAATCATTGGTAGAATATCTAACATGAATTAATCAAAATTGAAAAGTGGTTACATGCAAACATACCGAGCGTAGCAGCGACAGGGTCAGGTGGATCCAGAGGTTCTGGTAGTTGAGCGGGTGGTTCGATTTCAGTAGCAGTGCTCTCTGCCTCTGCAACAATTTCTTTCTCTTTTGGCTGTGGTGTCTTAATCAGTTGAGCTAGTAAAACAGCAAGTGTACTCTGGATGGCGGCCTGAGTAGCATCAGGCTCACCTTTCAGTGTTGGCTGAGTCACAGGTGGTGGGGGCTGAACTGTCAAAGTTGATGTTACTTGTGGCTTCTCTAATTCTTGCTGCTGCTTAGCAGCTGCTGCCAGGACTCCAGCTGGAAGGTTAACTGTACTGAGTTGCTGCTGGGTCTCAGGATTCACTTTAATATTCAGTATTTGAGCAAGATGTGCTAGGCTGAGACTGTTCTTGGATCTCAACAAATTCAGCAGAATTGCCAGGTCATTCTGGTTTAGTGGCTGTCCAGTGCATTTACTCCCTGCAGAACAATAATATGAAAGCTCATTAACTGCCCAGCAAATGAAAAGGCTTGAACAGCAGTGTGCTGTGAATTAAGCCTTAAATCCTTACAAAAGATCAGAAATCTACAAATAGGTCAAGTACTTTAGTAAATATGGGAAACAGATAGTTATGGCAAAAGCTAAATATTGTAAATATAGGTATATATGGCAACCGTGCTGGGTAATAATGCTACGTATGTCAGGTAATTATGATAAGCACAATGGGTAACAATATTAAAGTGCACTATGTAAATATGGAAATCACAAACAATAATAATAGGCAAACATTAGCACTCAGAAATAGGTAGTCAGCAGTAAATTACCAGTGGTAACACATTGAAAGAGGGCAGTCTTTGGCCTTGTATCATGATGTAAATGATTACATGACTTTTGGGGGAGGGGGCCTGTGTACACTTTGCTGTTCAAACTCAGAACTGGGGACAGACAGGCAAGTTCTAATTCTGTAATAAGGGTCCCAGAATATCAGGAAAGACAACAGCGTTAGGAATTACAGACTTAGATGGAACCAAAGAAAATATTGAGTGGTTTAAGTTAGATTGGGAACACAAAGGGCGGTTGATAATGCTGGTGCATTGAAGTACAACCACTGTCAACCTACTGCGTCCAGTTCTGGTTTCACTGTTATAGTAAGAATATTATTAAGCTGTGGAGGGTTCAGAAGAGATTTGCCAGGATGTTGCCGGTATTGGAGGGCTTCAGTTAGGATGAGAGGCTGGAATGGCTGGGACTTTTTCACTGGAGTGTAAGCGGTTGAGAGGTGACACTCCTTGGAGGTTTATAAAATCATAAAGGGTATAAGATAGGCTGAATGGCAGTTGACTAATTCCCTAGGGTGGGAGATTTCAAGACATATTTTTAAGGTGAGAGGAGAAAGATTTTTAAAAAGACCTGAGGGACAAATTTTTCTTTTTTTTAAAAAAAAAAAGAGTGGTTTGTATGTGGAATGGACTTCTAGATGTGGGTACAGTTACAATGTTCAAGATATTTAGCTAAGTACATGTACAGAAATGTTGGAAGGGATATGCGCCAAGCACAGGCAGGTGGGACTAGTTCAGTTTGGGATCATGATCAGCATGGACTGATTGGACTGAAGGGTCTAACTGATTGATTTATTGTCACATGTACCAAAGTACAGTGAAAAGCTTTGTTTACAAGCAGTACAGGCAAATCAGGCAGACAGACAACAATGCTGTATAACTCTATGACTATGCTGTAGTGATAACTGAGAACATGCACTAAAAACATTCCTGTATATTTAATAACCTTCAGAACAAAACATACAGGGAAGATAGGGAAAGTAAAAGACAGGCAGAAGCTTAATTTAAACTGTTACATCTTGAAGAATCAAAGACAGAATCGATTTAATTGGAGTACAGAAACATTCAAGCAGGTGAATGTTTGGCGTACATTATCACCTTACCACTGATCTATAGAGGAGCAGATATATAGGAAATTCACTGAAGTGTGTGAAATAGAGTTAATTGGTGACTCAAGCTACACCAATATTAAATGGGGAAGTCATTGTATTAAGGGCAGAGAAAGGAAGTCCTTAAATATCTCTAGGCAGATGTCCTTGCCCAATAAGGAAGGACAGATCTAGTTCCAGGGCATGAAGAGGATGTTTCAGGGAAGGAGCTAAGGAAGAAATATAATACCATTAGGTACAGATTAGTTATGGAAAAAGACAGGAAGCAATAAATAGCCTTTTAAAGAGAAGATGTAAGGGTATAGCCTAGATACATTCTCACGGAGGTAAAAGGGCGAGCAACCAGAATTTGAGCTCCCTGGATGATTGGAGGTTACAGAGTAAGGAGTCGGGGTGGGGGGTGCAGACTGTTTATAGAGGAGACAGTGTCAGTTTGATATCTCAAGGGAGAATTAAAATTTAACATTACAAACAGAAAAAAGTATTAAAAAAGGGAAGAAAACATGAACAGGAATAGAAAAGGTCTTCTGTAAACACAAAACAGTATAAGGGCTTTCAGAGGAGCTGTGCTGCCAATTATGACCTAAAATATGGCTGAATTGGAGGAGATGAAAACATGATTGCGGTTTAGCCAAAAACGTCTTTGTTAAAGCTAGGTAAGGAACTTGCCAGGATACTTGAGCTATTAGAAAGGCTGCCAGTGGAAATGTCACACAATCCAGATGGGGGTACATCCTGGGTTGCTGACAGAAGGGTAGTGTTATGATTCCTGAAGGGACCATTAACACAAAAGAGAAATTCAAAATCCCTGTTACTCACTAAAGAAATGAAGCCACAAGATTCCACTGCTTAAACAAACAATGTTACTGTACAAAAGCCAAACACAGCAAACACTATTACATAACCTTTCATCAGCTTAAGTTATTCACAATAGAAAAAGTTAAATCTGAAATCCTCAATTCAAGTTGATTTCTCCCCCAGAAAGTCATAGAGTCATACAGCATGGAAATGGGTCCTCCGTCCAACTCGTCCATGCTGACCAAGTTTCCTAAACTGAACTAGTCCCATTTGCCTGCATTTGGCCTATATCCCTCAAACGTTCCTAATCATGTACCTATCCAAACATCTTTTAAATGTTATAACTGCACCCTCCACTACATTTCTTCTGGTAGCTCATTCTGTACAAGCATGACCCTCTGCAGGAAAAAGCTACCCCTTAGGTCCCTTTTAAATCTTTTCCCTTCTCATCTTAAACCTATGTCCTCTAGTTTTGAACTCCCCCACCCCAGGGAAAAGACCTTGGCTATCCATGCCCCTCATGATTTTATAAACCTCTATAAGGCAAACCCTCAGCCTCCTAGCTCCAAGGAGAAAAATCCCAGCCTATCCAGCCTCTCCTTATAATTCAAACCTTCCAGTCTGATAACATCCTTGTAAATCTTTTTGGCACCCTTTCCAATTTAATAAGATCCTTTGCAATAGCAGGGCAACCAGCATTATAAGCAGTACTCCAAACGTGTTTGGGAACTCAATTCAGGATTAGATAAGATACCACTGGAGTCATGCTAATTGAATGCATAAATACATTAAAAGAAATACATTAAATTTTATTAACACAAGTCTATGTGGATGGCTAAGTCTTCAGTTCATTATTAATACCGGTGAATGCAATAATCCTAGAATAAATAATTATTCAATTAAAACTAACTCCCAATTAGTAAAAAGGAATTTTTATTTAATGCAAACATTTTTTTTTTTGGGAGGTGAGCAGTATTGTTCCTTCCAAAATTACATTAAAATTATTCTACATCAACAGTATACCCCCACGCCCTTGGCAACCTTTGTAACTTCGATCCTCCATTCATCCTAAATTCTAGCTCCCCCCGCCCCAAAAACCATCACCACCATCTTTGCCCCATCCCAATCCCAGCCTCCACTCACGCTAAATCTGTTATCCAATCTTCCAGCTATTCTGCACTGTCAGCCTCTCTTCTGGCCATGTCTAGCCTGTTACCCTCTGTCCTGACCCATCAGCCTACATAGCAACTCAACCAAATCATCAGGTTCCAGCAATAGTTGGGGATGCTCATTACGTGCCTGCACATGGTGACAGTTAGGTCTTAGGCCCATATGATGTGCAGTTCAAGCTTATCCATTCAGGCATGGGGATCATTTCTTGTGCACCCACCTTCGATGTGTTTCAATTTCTAGGTCAATGCAAGTGCTAATTCACTGTCAAAAAATGTTGTGACACATTCATAATCTTGAAGAAACTAAAATGTTGCTGCAGCAGAACCATCCTCCCCTGATGTTCCATCATCAAAAACAACGGACTAGACAAAAGCAGCACAAACTTCTTTACCAGCAACTTTCCTGCAATATTGCTTCATAATCCTAACTCGGATATAAGTTAATACTTTTTTATTCTTGCTAGATCCAGGTGTAGATATTTTAATCAACTTGTTCAGAATGACACACCACTGGAGCAGGTGCGACCTGACCCGAGGCCTGCCTGAAAGCAGCATCACTCTAAACATTGCCACAAATCAAGAAGACCCACACCATCTTTTCTGGGCAACTCCATGATAATAAACGCAGCCTTGTCCATGTCACTCATGTCCAGAAAACTTTTTTTTTTAATAAAACTGAGAATGGCAGGGGACTAGAGCATGGTGGAGGGATTGAAAGCAAATGGAATATCATTATCTGATTTCAAGTGCTCAAGTGAAATACATGAAACACATAAAACAATGTGAGCAAGTCAATAAATCCTCCCCTTCGCAAGTTATCTGCTAGGTAGCAGTGGGGTGTAGAGAGACAAGCTTAGAAATTTTGTTTTTTAAAATCTCAACAAGTATACTAACTAGTAATTTCTATTTTAGCAACTAAATGCACAACACTATTGTCCACAATTCAAGTTCAGATAATATTGAAGTCTTTTAGTGAAAGGATGGCTCATGGGTCTTGAAAACAAAAACAAAAAAGCAGTGCTGTCCACATTTGAAATAGTACAACTATCAGAATTTACAAAGCTATATAATTTCCAGGTATCTGATGCTCATGGCGGAAACTCTACAGAGTCTACCATCTTCCCTCCCTGCCTCTTCCCAGGGTTCAACTTCAAATTGTCCACAATGAAACCAAAATTTGTACCATAAAATTCCAGGATCAAGTCTCTAACTAATCAGGTTTGTGAAAACTTTCCATTTTCTTTATTATGAAATCTCCCACAGTCTGAAATTATGAAATCTGCCACAGTCTGAAATTTTTCAACTCAAACCTGAATGCCATTCTCAATTCCTGCACAGCAAATTAAATGGAAGATTAGAAGCTCTGTTCTCCAATCACAGCTGTTCTGTGCAAATTCTCTTCTGTCTTCTACAAGCTGACTGCTCACAGAACTCCAAATGCAAAATGACTAACTGCCTTCATCTGCAAGGGTTCCCCTACAACTGCTTCGCAACCTCCAAGTGAAGCAAAACTTTTAGCCTCTTTACCCCTCATGAGCTCTGCCACCAATCTGAGATCAAG